AGCCTTTTTCTATTGAGTCAGCAGAAGAAATGGTAACCGGTTCCTTTTTGCTACACCTTTATCAACTAAGCTGAAAGAGACTCCCAATCAGGCTAATTATTAAATTGTTTAAACTACTGGTGTTGCTGTTGAAAAGAGACATCACAGTCTCTTTCTATCCATGTAACGTTCTCTCGGAGCAGTTGGAACGTAACTGCTCATTACTTTGTTATTTTTATCTCTCGGATTCTTCACCGAATTTCTAGTAACATCAACTTCTCTAAAACTCCAGTTCCTTGATAGACATGGAATATCTTGTTTTTCTTCCTTAGATGATACCAATAAAACCGTTTGTATTGCGGTCTTTCCCTGGCTCTTTTTCTGAAATAAGGGAGAACTTCTTTTCAGATGACATCAAGACCTCTTTATTGGGGAACATATTTAAGCATATTTTCATTCTATTTTATATAATACGGTTTCCAATTTCCAAGACAAAAATTATATACCGAAAGAGAGAAATTAGAAGAGTTAGAAATAAGTCAAATGCTTACGCACCTAAATAGGAGCCAAAAAAGAAGACAAGAAAAGTGTAAAACTTTCTTATAAAACCATAACCAGCAAAACCCCTGATAGTTAAGGGCACATGATGACTTTCGCGCAAATGAGATTAAATAAAAATCTGACTAAGAAGGAATGAACAAAAGGTTATATTTTTGAAAGTCTGGGACAAAGAGATGATTGATATTTTTAATAGCTTTTATTTTTATTTTTTCATATTTCAGTATTTAGATTGGATATCAATTATCATTTAATATTACCATTAAAATATTTGGAATCATATTGTGTAGATGTTTTCTTTAAAATGGTTCTTAAAGGCTCATACATCTCAAAAAACATGTCCGTATTCAACTAGGAGTAAGTAACCCCTTTCTGACAAAAAAAAATTAAATTTATAAATCAATAGAAAGGTTAAATTATGATTATTAGGCATACCCATAAATTCTAAGCCCTACTAATACTTCGAAAAGATATACATCACAAAAACAAAGAATATTAGATATGGTATTACTTAATACCTCTCACGTCTTGGAACCCTTAACTAGAGCATAATTTGAGGCCCTACTCTACAAGCATCTGAAGAAATAATGCTAAGTTTTATTTTTTTTATTAACTCTTGTTTTGTAGAAACATAGTAGACACATATTTGTTAAATTACACTTCAAGAATTTCCGCACTATCATATTCTAAGCAAATTATTTGTTAGAGTCTTGTTTCATTTTTCATGTATTTCCTTAATAAAACAAGCATTTTAGATATGAGTCTTTCATTCCTCAAGGCTGTCTTCACCTTGTTTCAAAAAATTCCAATCACGCAACTCGGAAAACATTTCCCGAGGAAAGACTGTTCCAGTTTTTATGAAAGTTTGTAATATTACAACACGTGTATCCGTTTATGCCGTAATATTCTTAGAATTCAGGAACATTTCTAAAGAGCGCACTTTTTTCAAGAGAACAAGTAAAAAATGTCATGAATTTCATTAAAGATGGTGATATATAAATGAAATAAAATTGAATGGAAAAGAATTAAAATGAATGGTAACGACAAGCTGATACATTAAAATAACTGAAAAAGGAAAGAAATGAGATTATGCAACCTTATGTTGCTGCTTTTAATAATGAATGCATTGGAAAGGTTGATTTGCGTGTTCTATTTTTAAGCTAGTCTCGACCAAACGCTATCGGTCAGAAGTTCTGCTATCATTCTTTACAAACATTATAATATGGCCCTTCAGAAGTTTCGACAATGTATAGAAAATGTGAGGGAAGTTGTCGAAACTAGTATTTCCTCGTGAGGTTAAGGCTACATTAATAAAAAAAAAAAGTAGAGCTCATCCAGATCGAACACTATTGCTATGCCCTTCTGAATCTGTATCCCACGACGCATATTTTCATAGAATTACTGATTTCATGGAAATTGCTGGAAAATAATTGAGGTGCAAAAAATTTATTAGAGAAACACTTACACAGAAATTATACATAATTGCGCATAAGAACTTAGAAGATTATTAAGTACAATCACCAAAAAAACAAAATGTATAATTATGCACATTTAAAAAGCGGAACGAAAAAAGGGAAAGGAAATGGAAAATTATTTTTTCATTATGATCCTAAAATTAATTATAAGAAAATAAAATATGGTAATTTTTATTTTTATTCAAAATATGTATGAAATTTCATATTCTCTTTGGGCACTTCTTATCCGTTTTTGTGAACATGGTATAACATTAAAAAATTGTAGGTATTACTAACAATTCTTATTAAATTGTTCGAAGAATACTTAACATCACAAAAAAATTCAAATACTCTTAAAACACTCAGATTGCAATACATTTACGTGTTTACTAATTTAAACTAAATTATCACTAATCTGTCATGCAAACGAAAACGAGCGTGACAGATCCTGTAGCTCAATGGATAAGGCGTTAAACTCCTTCAACTTAAGACCTTAGGTTCTAAACCCTCCATCTTTTATTCCTTTTAAATCTTAACAGTTAAAAGAATTTGAGAAAAAATGTGTTTTATGAACTGAAACGGATGGTGCAAGTCTTTTGGCCTTATGGTTAAAGTGTTAGATTCCGTATCTGAAGATTGTGGGTTCAAATCCCACCAGGAACTCGGTTTTATGTTTGTATCTTATTATGCGCTTGCACTTTAAGCTATTATATGAGAACAATGTCAACTGGAAGATAAAACGCCATGCATCGGTCCTGTGGCCTAATGGATAAGGTGTTGGATTCCTCATCCGTAGATTGTGAGTTCGATCATATCAGGAACACTGTTCTATAGTTAGATCTCAGTTATTTTTTTTTATATTTATACAGCTTAAACTATTTTATGAGAATTAAATCATATGAAAAAAAATATATTTTGAACCTTACCGGAAACTCTGACCTTTCTTGTACAGTGATGAATTATTTTCTACATATATCTTTATTGTTTAATCCTTTAAACACTACTGTTTATAATATGGGAACAGTAAGAAGTAATTTCTTTTTTAAAGACTCTGTTGCAAATATTAAAAGTTAAGCTTTATTTTGAATCATTTAAAAATATGGTATTTTTGTAATTTCTTAAAAAGCGTTTTAGAGTATTTATCATTCTATTAGAAAATTACGATATAAAAAAATTAATTTTTCGAACGTTTTCAAACTTATATTAATTGTTTTCTAAAATACTTTATAATATAATTAATTCCTTTGTAACTATTTGTTTTTAATTATATATTGTATAAATAGTGATTAATACAATTTTGATAAACACTTAAAAAAAGACAACCGCAAATAAAGAAATAATATTGTTTATACATGTTGGAAAATTTAGCAAATTCGTTGCATTTTAAAACTAGTCAAATGACAAGAAATCGTTATCCTCTTTTTTACAGAATTTAGCCTGAAAATCAGAGTAACAGTAAGCTTTTTTTTACTGGCTGAGGCTGAATTAACCTAGTGGGGCAGGTCACAGGTTAGATTGGGCATTCAGCGTTGTATATTCTTTAGCGTTTAAAAAAATTTTGGAGAACAAAATTTTATGACTGGGAACGGGTTATGCATCTCTTTCCTGCGGCCTTATGGATAAAGCATTGGAATCCAAATCCACAGATTGTGGACTCTAGTTCCACCCGGGGGTATGTTTATATTTCAATCATGTTGCACTTTTTCTTGTTATATATTTACGGTTTAAACTATTATATGACATCAAAGTCATCCAGAAAATAAATTATTTTACGTATCTACTGTGGCGTAATGGATAAGGCGTTGGATTCTGAATCCAGAGACTGTGGGTTCGAGTCCCATCAGGAGCATTGTTTCATATTTGAATCATAGTGCTCCTTTTATTATAACATATATACAGATGCAAACATTATATACAAACAAAGTCATCCAGAAGATAAATTATTTAGTGCAGCTCCAAAGGCCTAATGGAGAAGGTATTTGACTCTGAATCCCACGTTTGTGCATTAGAATTCTCTCAGAAGCTCTGTTTTGAATTTGGAATATATTTCTCACTTTTCGCATTATATATTTACATTTTACACTATTATATTGGAACAATGTCACCTAAAAATACGATTAGTTTGCCTGCTCCGGTGGCCAAATGGATAAGGCGTTGGATTCCAAATCCAAAGACTGTGGGTTCGAGTCCCACCAGGAGCGATGTCTTATATTTGAATCGTGTTGCACTTTTTCCAATTATATATTTTCAGTTTTAATCATTATATCTGAGCAACATCATCTGGAAAACAAAGGTACTTTAACGGCTCCTGTGGCCTAATGGATAAGGCGTTTTATTCCGAATCCAAAGACTGTGGGTTCGAGTCCCACCAGGAGCGATGTCTTATATTTGAATCGTGTTGCACTTTTTCCAATTATATATTTTCAGTTTTAATCATTATATATGAGCAACATCATCTGGAAAACAAAGGTACTTTAACAGCTCCTGTGGCCTAATGGATAAGGAGTTGGATTCCGAATCCAAAGACTGTGGGTTCGCGTTCCATCAGGAGCGATGTCTTATCTTTGAATCGTTTTGCACTTTTTCCAATTACATATTTTCAGTTTTAATCATTATATATGAGCAACATCATCTGGAAAACAAAGGTACTTTAACTGCTCCTGTGGCCTAATGGATAAGGCGTTGGATTCCGAATCCAAAGACTGTGGGTTCGAGTCCCACCAGGAGCGATGTCTTATATTTGAATCGTGTTGCACTTTTTCCAATTATATATTTTCAGTTTTAATCATTATATATGAGCAACATCATCTGGAAAACAAAGGTACATTAACGGCTCCCGTGGCCTAATGGATAAGGTGTTGGATTCGGAATCCAAAGACTGTGGGTTCGAGTCCCATCAGGAGTGATGTCTTATATTTGAATCGTTTTGCACTTTTTCCAATTTTTATATGTTCAGTTTTAATCATTATATCTGAGCAACATCATCTGGAAAACAAAGGTACATTAACGGCTCCCGTGGCCTAATGGATAAGGCGTTGGATTCGGAATCCAAATACTGTGGGTATGAGTTCTATCAGGAGCGATGTTTTATATTTGAATCATATTGCACTTTTTCCAATTATATATTTTCAGTTTTAATCATTATATA